CTCAAATTCTCTGTGGTGACACAAAATCAGTTATTTTGATTGGTTTATATCACATGATTATCATATAACAAAAATAATATCCAATCTTTAAATACTTATTTCTTATTAAATATTTAACTGATTTTAATGATTTTACTACCATTAGAATCAGAAAAACCTATTCTACAAACTTTACTTAATAATCTAAAATTATTAACTTAATAAAATTTTTTAAAATATTAAAAATAAAAAAAATTTACCATCAAAATCATATGAAAATAATTTATATTAGACTCTACCCTTAAGAAAAGCTCAGCTTCAAGGCGAAATTATGTCTTTAATGAAACAAAAACTTAATTATTTATTTAATAAGCTTTGTATTATATAACATGTTTCATAAAATCAAAAATTTCAACAATTCTATGAATTAACATATATACTACTAATAAAGTCTTTTTATTACAATATTGTATATTATTGATTACTATAAAAGAATACCATAAATAGTTTTTTTTCTTAATTCATGTAAATTGTTGAGGTCAAATTTGCATATACAAGTTTGATTAAAACTGGTATTAGGTGCACTGAAAAACTTTTAATATTATGTGAAAGGTTATGATTTCAAATTTGTTAAATGAATAGTGATAGTGTTTTTAAATAGTTAAATAAAAAATTTTAATATGACATAAATACCATCTATTTGTTTTACATTTCTTTACATTTTATTTTTTTAATATTATTTTTGTTCTTAATTTTTAGATAGATTTTTATTACCGAATTTATATACACAAAATCATTGATGTATACAACTATTGATGTATGCAAATAATTGTCGAATTTTGAGTGAATCAATTAATGCTGCGATTTCATTGGCCAAACCTAAATTGATGTACGTAAAGTTACATGAAACTGATATATAAAAATTATTTCTTATTAACATATTACGTAACGCAGACTTCAATGCAACGATTTTTTAAAAGTCACGTGACCACTGTATTTAAAATCGACCAATGGGATTTCTAAAAATCCCATTGGTCAATTTTAGGTGCGGCAGTCACGTGACTTTTAGAAATTCCATTGGTCAATTTTATGTATAGTAGTCACGTGACTTTTGGAAATTCCATTGGTCAAATTTAAGTGTCAGGGTCACGTGACTTTTAAAAAATCGTCCTATCGAAGTCTGAGTCACGTGATATATTAATTTTGATAGAGATAAGATCAAGTTTCGCCTAGTTTCTCCCAGTTTCGACTAGTTTCGGACGTTTCGAACGTTTCGCCCAGTTTCGGAAGTTTCGCCCAGTTTCGGACATTTCGCCCAGTTTCGGACGTTTCGCCCAGTTTCGGACTTGGCACCTTGGGCGAAACTAGGTTTCGGAGGTTTCGGAAGTTTCGCCTGGCCGAAAGTTTCGGTTTAGGCCGTAACACTAGCATATATATAAAAAGTTCTACGCAGAAATGCAGACCGGGGTAAACAGCCACCCAAAAAAGTTTCGGTATCACGTGACGAATTTATCGATCACTAAAATTTCATGTAAAAAATCATTTCTCACCAATTTAAACCTTGCGATAATAAATAATAGGTTTATTGAGTTATTCGAAATAATTAAAATGATTAATTTATAACTTATCGTTTAAAATTTTTTGTTTGTATTTTTTTGTTAAGCTACATGAATTTTTAGTGCTCGATATATTTGTTACGTGACGTTCGAAACTTTTTTGGGTGGCGATTTTACCCCCGTCTTAGAAATTGGCCCATTAATGTTAATGCAGGCCGGATGATATTTAATGCAGGCCAGATGATGTACTAATGCAGGCCAAATAATCTCATTAAAAATCCCGCGCGGATCCCGCACGTGGCCCATCTCTAGAAGCAAATGTTTCTATTTTACTTGCTTTTGAATTATTAAAATTCCAATGTTATTTAATGAATAAAATATATGAGATAAATATATTTGAATTTCCCATAATATTGAAAAAAAAATCGTGGTATTCGAATATGTCCAATTAATAATTTCCTATATGCGGGTGAAATTTTTTTATCCATAAGATAAAAAAAAAATTTCATCCTGAAATAAATGATCGGAATTTCTTCTGTGTTTAATAATCTACTAGTTCGGTCAATTGAATCTTTACCTAATTTACCAAATTTTCTTTTATCTTTATCGATATGGGGTTCCAGATCTTTATGAAATGAACCATGTGGTACTTCTACAAATAAAACTTCATACCAAGTTTGATCGTTTCTAGTAATATATCCAATTAAATCATCAAATTTTCGAACTCCACGACCTTTTGCTGAAAAACTTTGGGTTTGATCCCAACGTTTAAAAATTCCAGGTGAGATGAAATTCATGATAGAAGGCAAGATATCATGCGTAAATGTGGATTTATTTATAAGACCTGATCTTTCCTGATAATACAGATAATTCCAAATACGCTTGATATTATGAACTAATTCTTTATTATCTCTCTCTACTTCATTTTCATTTTCTCGAACCAATCTTTGATAGTTTGTTGATTAAAAGGAAACTCTTGTTTATTTCGTTTAGTTTTTTCCACTCATCAAGAACTTTATTTTTTTTAAACAAACTAGTTTTTTTTATCCTTGATATTTTCAACATCAATTATATCAATTATATCTAGTTCTTCATTCGGAGCATCATCAATATAATTCCGATAGCAGATAATAATTCATTGCTATTTGTAAAAAAAATACATTACTAGAAATACTAGGAACATAAATAAATAATTATAATACATCATTTGTCAAATTTCGACAACTTTAAATCAAAAATGTTATGCCACCACCAAGCATTATATCCCAACTTGTTTGGAGTATGAATATTGGGTATTCTTTTTAATGCATCTCGTGTAGAATGTTCAATAATTTTATTTTTAACATCTTTTGGATTTTTTGCAATACCCATTGAAATAAATAAAGCACATAATCCACTTATATGAGGAGAAGACATTGAAGTTCCTGATAAAGTTGCAACCATATTATTTTCTGGACCTATCCATGTTGATTCAATATCCACACCCTTTTTTTACGATTAGAACGATGTTAATAAAGCAACAGAGTATCACAAAATGATATCAAAGATTAATAAATATTATATACCGGAGCAAAAATATCGACACATTTGCCATGATTAGAAAACCATGCACAGTTATCATAAATATCAGAAGCTCCTACAGTAATAGCTAATTCAGCAGATGCTGGCGATTCATTACAAGCATCATTATTATCATTTCCAGCTGCCACGGCAACAACGATCCCTTCTCGTACAGCCTAAATAGAGAAAAGAAGTAAAAGATTACAACTAAATCAAAAGTTTATAAAAGAAAAATATATTAGACATTACCGCATTGACAGCTTCATTTGTGGCGATACTTTTATCACCACCTAAACTCATATTAATGACAGATCCTTTGTGACCACTTTTCATTTGTTTCGATTTATGTTGAATGACCGTCCATTCAATACCTTTAAGGATGTCTGAAATATAGCCATAACCGTAAGAGTTCAAAACCTTGACAGCAACTATTGTCGCTTTCTTGGCGACACCATGAATTTTACCCGCAACTATTCCAGCAACATGAGTTCCTAAAAAGCAAAATAAAAATAATAAATTATATAACTAATGAATAAATAAATAAATTATATGACTAAAAAATATGATAATTTGTGATAAAAAGCTTGATTGTATGCTAACAAAACGTACCATGGCCATTACCATCATTATCATAATCATCATTAGAATAATCAACACCCCAAATAGCCCTTCCTTCAAAATCATCATGGTATATGTTTATACCAGTATCAATGATATATACCGTCACACCATCACCACCACTTTCATGATACCAATACCTTCCAGAGTCAGATGGCCAGTCATCAATCCTAGAAGAAATTCTGGCTAAACCCCACGGAGGATTATATTGAATTTTATATCTTTTTCTTTGATTCTTTTTATAATTTAAGTGAACAATCTGATCTTCCTCCACACAATCCACCTTATTAAATTATAAACAAATTATTATTAAATTATTAGACGATAATTTAGATAATAATAATAATAATTACTTCACTACTTTGTCTAATCTTATTCAATAACTTTGCGGAAAACCTTCCGGCATAACCTTTAAAATCATTAAAATCGTAGGTATGACGAATTTCATTTATGTTGATAATTCCATCATCGTTTTGAGCAATTAATTGACGTATTTGGTTATAATGAGAGTCGATTTCATCTTGGTCAAGATATTTTTTAAAAATTACAATGTATTGATCAGGAATCACATTAGCATTTTCGGAAGAAATCAAAGGTGCCAATAATTCGACATCATAAATTTTAAACTTATAAGGTAATGCTAATACATAATAAATTAAGAACGTCAAGACAATTAAAAGTTTTGTAAAATACATGTTTAAGGTTGGGGTGATCGAATCAAAAAAAAATTAATTTACATTTTAAGCCTGTTGGGTGCTAGTTTTTAATATTTTTGGAACAAACCTGTTTTACGCCAGACAAATTAACCGCCTTTTCTAAATTAATATCGTTAATCTAAGAATATAGATGTCACAAGACTTAGTGAAACGGAAAACCGAAGTTTTGTTATACGTAAACGAATGCATGAGAGTGAACACATTTAATGATTTACTATGATTGGTTACAAGTTTTCAATACGTAGCATGTATCTACGTATACAGTACGTATGCTAAATGAAATCCATTTAAATGAACGATTGAAAGGTTAATATGTGTTATTCTATTATTAATAAACTTTTAAAAAATTTGTCTAAGGGTTATTTTACAGATATAACTAAATTGAAATATTTAAATTTATATCATCCTTTAATACCAAACATAACAAATGTTATCTTTAAATAATTATCTATAGTTTTACATTATATATATATATATATTTACCATTAAAGATTTAAAATTAGAGCAAGGTTAAAGTTGAAATTAGGATTCAGGGTAGGAGAAAAATTTTAAGCTATCTTTAAACTATAGCAACTATTGCATTAAATGCTACTAGCGTGATTTAATAAAACGTGATTTAGAAAGCTAAATAAATATTAGATAGAACCTTTTAAACATTTAACATATATTTGCCGTAAGTGCATAGTGGAGTCGGAATTCTGTGAATTCAAGATCACTCAGGTAGAATTTGGGTCCGCTTAAATGGATTTTAAATCTCATACAGCAGAGACAGTGCCCGATCCAAAGTGAATCCCTCTCGCCTGTAATCAATCACAAATTGAATTATTTATGTTGGATTCAATTGTGATGGATATAATCCCTCGCCAGTTTTAATATGTGTAACATTAACGTCTCTGCTGTTATAAATCTCAAAAACAACTTATGTGGAAACGAAATTTAAAAATGGATAAGTTTCAAAATTAAGAACGAATTATCTAATGTTTATTCTCTATGGTATCTTCAAAATTTTATAATTTTATTTAACATTTTTTAAATTGAAATTTTGTGGATGACAATCACTTTCACATATCTTATCGGTTGCATCCTATACCAGCTATAGTAAAGTTGATCAGCTTCTCACACTTATAATTTTAATAAATTTCAATATCTTAATAACCAGGCCTATCCCAGTGTTATAATTTCATTTACACCATAGGCAGTATCAAATATTCTGTTTTAGCATTATAAAAGATATGTAACATTAGGAAATTTTAAATTTTGATTGTAGTACAGTAATCGATTGTAACCACCCATCGATTAAATATGATAGAGATTTTATCATTTTATCGATTAAAATCAATCTTAAATTAAAAACTAATTGATATAATCAAAAGATGTGATCACAATGTCATGCGGGAATCGAAGATTCTATCAGTTTTGCGAATTTTATCAATTTCAAAGAAATATGAATGTAAACCGATCGAAAATATAAAACAACAGGCAATTAATATCTTAGCAATTGTCCCCGATCATCATCATAAAAATCATGTGGCCTATCTTTTTTTTGCATAGGCCCCAATTTCAATCGATTATAATCGATTAACTGTTTGCAATCCATTACAATCAAGTTTTAAATTTTCCTGATGGATTTATCAAAACTTTCAAGATAACGTAGACCGATTGGCGTCATTATCTACGTTTTAATATATTCTTTTTACAGTATTTAGGAAAAAAAACTTTGAAAAATATGATTACTTATCGATAAATACTAATAATTAGTTTATTTAATATCTGAAATAAACTTAACAGTTAAATGATTCTAGATTCAAAGTCTACTTAAGTGAGTTCTGAATCATAAAATTCCTAATCCACCAACATATTCAAATAATTAACAATATATATTATTCAAATAACACCTAACCAATTAGAAAAAAAAGTAAATATAATCGACCCTTGACAAATGCAGACCGTGTACAATAGGTACGCATTTAACGATGAACCTAAAAGAAAACTTATAATATTTGATTACACATACTCACTACGGTTGATAAAAATTTAATCAATAGACAATTATATCAACAATACCTAAAGAAAGTCTATTTACACCATTAAATTCTCTTACATTTGTTATTTTCGTTACTTGGTTACTTCTTTTACTAATCTCAAATCTTTCCCGTTGCTATTCTTTTTTCCTGCCCAAAACATTATCATTACCAACCATTTCCGCCATTCCACCTGATTCATTTTGACTGTTTTTCTTATATCGGTTTGGATCCGTATCTTCCAGAGTATGAGTTCCATAATGTGGTGATGGTAACTCAGATTTTGGTATATTTTCTTGTATTTTTTCGGGTGAAGGTTCAGGAGATGTCGACGATGGTGGAAATTCCGTTAATGAGTTTTGAGTGTTTTCCGGAGTTTTGTACGAAGATTTATCAATTTGTCGTGTAGTTGTAGTGGTTGTCGTATGATCATCATTAATTGGAATGGCGACCGAAGGTGGAGGTGGATACGTACGTGCCGGATTTTCAGAGCTAGTTGGTTCGTTACGATATTTGTAAATTATGTAAATCGCGTGGATTATTCCTATACGTATAACTGTTAGATACCAATATTATTTTTTTTTGGATGATATTCAAATGGAGACTTTAATTACCTGGAAAATACCCTGTAATTATAATTACAATGAGAATTAGAAAATTTTAAGCATGTTTTTTTTTAGGTTGTCTAATTGTCGCACATCGTAACCTAATACTCCACATAAACTTTTTTTATAGGTTACTGCGAGTGACAATTAAGCAACCTCCTTTCTATCCCTAGCAAGTCAAACATTAATTTTATTTACCAAGAATTGTCAAAATAACGTTAATGCTAAATGAAACAGTAAAAAAATTAATTTAAAAAAAGATTTAATTTTAATACAGTAACTAAAAAAAAAATTGGTTTTAGAAAAAATCGAACCAAAAATCTGCCGAACATCCCCGTTTAATAGCCACTCCAATTGGAGGAAATATGAAACTAAAAATCAAGGCCAATATGTCGTCAGGACTGTATTCTGCCATCTTTAATTAAATTATGATAGAAATTCGGTAGAAGAATGATTTAAGAAAAACAGTTCGAAATATACCGGTATCGATATAAATAGAAATCACCTGTTATAAATTTACATGACATAATAGATTAAGTGAGGTAAACCTGCTTTCGTAATTTTTTTCACATCAGCATGATTATTACGTATATTGTATCTATATAGTAACACAAGTTTTTTTTTTAAAATTGAGACTAACGATTAACGTTAACGTCAAACGTCCAACACTAATATAATTAATAAACAATGACGACTATTCTGGTCATTCAATGTCTGCAATCTCATGCAATAAGCAATGCATTTTAAGTTCGTCTTAACGTTAACATTAAAGATCAAACTTGCCGAAATCATATGTGTAATTTATCTAAGAGATGCATGATGATTTTTACTTTGTTTGTATCTAAATCCATATCATCCAGCGATCAATTCTGATTACCCGATCCAAGATCATTATTTTAAGAGGTAATTATAAAGAACCCTCCCTAAATATCCTAAAAATACCAACATTACGGCGAATTTATGAAATTGGAGTATTTTGACTAACTACGAAGTGCGTCATTTACTATTTGTTTTTTGACACTTCTTATTATAAACTCACATACCCGTCTTCCCGTGAAAAAGATGGGTTATATGTTATCTACATGATCTTATAATAAGAAATGTCAAAAAACAAATAGTAAATGACGCACTTCATATAGTGAGTCGAAATACTCTTAATTTTATAAATTCGCCATGATGGATACAAGTGGATAAATTTGGAGTGAATTAATAAATAATATGGAGTTAAAATTTTAAACTTGAAGCCTACAAATGATTTCATTACCAGATGTGATTTCCTGTATTTCACGTAATGCTTGTAGTCGATACAGGTTTATTAATTCGACTAAGTTGATAATTAATCGGGTTCATTCTTACGGCAATTCTGCTGAAGGTGGATCTTAAATTTAGCCAATAAACACACCTTTATGATGGTCTAGACCAACTTTTTTTTCATTGCGATGACAAGCTTACTTAACTGTCCAAATTATGTTCCGCTAATTAAAAATTGAGCACCGGTCTATTAATTTAAGTACTTGAGAGCACCCTAAGTCGACTAATTCGAACCAATTCCTCGTTCTATATTAAATATATATTTCCAATATTAAAACGTCTCGACTAAGTTAATCTTTTAAAAAGTCGACTGACTTAGCCGGCTAAGGTTTTTCTCAAGCATCTCCCCCAGTGGTTGATAAAAAGATCTTATTGACTGAAAAAGTAGGTCGTGTTTAATTATTATTATTTCGATCAAAGAGCTAACAGACTTTGATTTCATAGTTACTCTGGCTGAAATTTAAAATCTGCCTTTCGCACGACTAATTTCCGGCAAAATTATTACATGAATCACTTCAATTAATTTCGATTAATCGAAATCACATTAAGGGAGCTGCCTGAGAACAACCTAAGTCGATTATCGACTAACGTCAAATCGACTACGATAACTAATTTCACAGAATTATGAATACATCACAAATGTGTCAAATAGTGTATTAAGTATGTGAGAAGTTCCGACATAGGTCGTAAACATACATAAATACGAGCGTGTTCGCGCTAATTTTTGTAGCATCCGAAATAGCCCGAAGGTGATGTGTAAAGTTTGCAGAATTTTTGAAGAACTATGTATTCAACGTAAATAATTTATAAATAATTAACTGGGAAATGCAAAACTTAAATTTATCACCGCAGAAAATTCTCGGTCTTACCAGGTTCATAATTCTTGTTCAATTATGCAAATTAAATAAACAGGTTCAGAAAAATTAATTAGATCTAATAAATCTTTTTTAGAATCAATAATTTGAATGAATAAAAAAGTTTGCTTCTCAATTCCATATATTAGAAGACACTTAAAAAGAATAAATTTTAAGCAATAATTAAACGTTTTGCCTTAAATTTTACTGTTAATTCGTTTCGTCGAAACTTTGAATATTATTCTAAAATACACTTAAGTCATATAAACATTATCGTGAATTTATAACGAGTATAGGGCATTTGGAAATGTGTACTGGTTAATGCACCATAGTGGCTATTTGACCGACATTTATTTGCCCGACAATTACTTTCTCGGCAACCATATGCCACGACAATCACTTGCCCGACATCATCATTTACTTGCCTGACACCTTTATTTACTAACAATTATTGTTTCAACATTTTAAAGATGTCGGGCGGGCAAGTGATTGTCGGTCAAATCATTGGGACCCCTCAGGCATGATAAGCCTGCATATGTAAAACAGACAAAAAAAAAAAAAGACTCACAATTACCATAATATAATATAGTATCTAGGATCCAACAATTTGTTGGATTTATCGTAACCTATTCTACAACCAATTGCTTCTCGTTAATGTTAAACACTTTAAAAAGTTCATGAAACTATGATTTTTTATTAATGGTTTTTTTTTCATTTTAACAACCTTCTTCATACTTAGAAATGGTTTAAAGTGGGATAAGAATTATGGTTCAGCTTTCATTAATGCAACAAAGAAAAAGTGACAAAGAAATGTTATGGAGTTGTTCTTTCACGTATGACTGTTAGCGACTGCTTGATAATTTTTTATTCTAAATCTTAGGTCTCAGGTGCAGATACAGGGTATTATGACGAATGTGGGCAGTTTCGTGAGTTAGTCCAAAAAAACTTGTAATCACATCCTGTAAATTTTCATCTTATGTATTCAATTTTCAATTGCGTTATTTACTTTTAACAATTAACTGAATATATATATATCTTGGCTTCATTCACCATTCAACCCTAATAAATTATGAAACTTTCAGAAAAAGATTCCGCATTCATCATAATGTCTCTTTACTGCTAACAAACAAATATAAGGTTTGGATTTTCTTTGGTTTAAACCCTGTTAAACACCTGTGAAAAAAATAAAAGTTTTCCTTGCGAAATTTTGGTATCGGAAAAACTCTTCCTAATCTAAATTTAATAGTAAAATCTAACCCTAATCTAGCAGCGAAATTTTTTAGGTAGGAAAAACTTATGAATAGGGACATAAAATAATTTATTAAATAACTTTATTCATTTTTAGGATATTCAATACAAATATTATTATCAGAAATAACCTCACGTGTATCAAATGAATTGCTCTGTTTCTGACTAATATAACTAATGAATGACTACTATGAACTATACTTCCATCAATATTATAATTCGTGTTTTTTGTTTCTATTTCTTCATCACTTTTAGAAATTCCGATAATAATTCAGTATTATTTCTCCAGTCCATAATAATTTCATAAATTTCTAAAGCAGTTGGACGCTTTTTTGGATTATTATCCCAACACTTTTTTAAAAGTTCTATATAAGAATGAGGTGTACCTTTAGGAATAGTCGGTCTTTCCATTACAAATATCTATTGTGAGGCTTAAGTTATCTTGATCATTATTTTTATGGCGAAAATTTTAATATGGGGTCAAATGATCAAAATTTAGGCAAATTGTGCTTTTTAGGGTTATTTAACAACAAAGAAGCTGTTCGTTTATTTTGGGGTATCATTTTGCAAATTCTCTAGCATTTTAAGATTATTCTTATTGATTAATAATAAAATTGAGAAGAATCATGATCACGAAGTTGGACAATTTTACAGTTTGTTTATGTGATTAACATCATTTATCCGAACGTTAAAGTCAAGAGTTACAGTTAGTGTTAGGGGGTTATATAGATATCAAGAATCTCGATTTTATTATTAACCACCTTTAAAACTTCATAAGAATCTTCAAATGCTGAGAATTTGCAAAATGAAACCCCGAAAATAAACGGATAATTTCTTGTTAAATAACCCTAAAAAGCAAAATTTGCATATAAAATCTAGGTGCGTCGATTATTTGACTCTAGAAATTTTTTTTACATGTGACATATCGTGTCACTGATATAGTAACGCGCCATAGATTCAGTATCTAATGAATTGTTGACTGATTTTGCAAAGAAGATTCTGACGTAATGATCCCATTCTTGCGTATTGAATAACTAAAATATAATCACCAGTAGCTTCATCTTTCGATACTTATATGTATTAATGATATGAAAACATTTTAAATAATTAAATATTACAGCTATTTCCATAATTTCTGGAACACCTACTCGTTACCCGAAATCTTTTTGGTCATCCGGTAAATTATCTAGCGTCCCGGAAATTACTTTGCTGCCTCTGGACTGAAGGTCCGAAGAAAGCGATGTAGTTTCCAGAGAGTTAGATAATTTACCGAATAACCAAAAAGATTTCGGGTAACGAGTAGGTGTTCCAGAAATTATGAAAATAGCTGTAAACATTTACCTCTTTCATAAGTTCTTTACAACTAGGGTAGAAATTGTTGCTATATGATTACTCGAAATACATAATAAATTACCCGGATAACCTGGGTAATACCCGGGTAGAGATTTTCTCAACGGGTCCAATCTCTATTTACAAACTATTTTTTGATCCATGAAGTAATTTAAGAGCAACAGATTCATGAATAATACTATCATCTGTTAATAACTGTGACAGCCCAACAGCATATACAGTTGCAAACCCTCCTTTTCCTATTTTTTTTTAGGTCCGGTCCGGTCATATGAGGACCGGTTGTATAGTATTAACGGACCCGGTCCTGGTCCATCCTCGGTCCTCTAATTTAAAAATATGTAAACAAAAAACATTCTCTCAATCGAGAAATTTGATTGGGCATTATTAACCAGTCCCAACAGTCCGTCCACGGTCTCGATCCAAAGACGGGTCTTTTGCACTAATTCACTAAATGGAATCCACAATAATAATAAATTATTTTTATTTAAAAAGTCTTTTAGAAAGTCATCAATATCATTGTAATTAATTGCATTTTGATGTTTACTAATTTTCGCTTTTTTCAACCATTCGTTAGCCTTTTCCTGATTAGGTAAAGTTCAAATGCCATTTTCCAAGTTGATATTGTCCAGCATGATAACCACCTTCTGTAGATTTTAAATATCATTCAAATGCCTTCTTTTCATCTCTAGTAGTGCCTATACCTTGTTCATAACAGGATCCAAGATTATGTTGTCCAATAGAATCACCATCTTCAGCAGATTTTAAATACCACTCAAATGCCTTCTTTTTATTCTTTGTAGTGCCTACGCTTTGGGAATAGCAGAATCCAAGATTACATTGCCCACGGGAATTACCACCTTCAGAAGATTTTAAATACCACACAAATGCCTTCTTTTCATCCTTAATAGTACCTATGTCTTTTTCATAGCAGAATCCAAGATTATATTGTCCGTTGGGATTACCACCTTCAGAAGATTTTAAATACCACTCGAACGCCTTTTTTGCATCCTTAGCCTAGGCCTTTTTCATAACAGAATCCAAGGTTACATTGCCCACTCACCACCTTTAGCAGATTTAAATAGGCTTTCTTTTCATTCTTACAGTGCCCATGTTTTTTTTCAAAGCAGATTCCAAGATACATTGTCCACGAGAATTACACCTTCGGCAGATTTTAAATACCTTCTTTTCATCCTTAGTAATGGTTTATTTTTTAAAAATTTTATATATTATATTTTACATTAAAATAGGAAGCATTGAGTTCGTAAGAAAACATGGTAATTTTATATAAACGAACTTTTTCTTTCACAAAGTACCGAGTGCACTTATCAACACATTGTGATTATCTATCTGCCCACTGTGGTCATTCGAAGTATTCAATATATGAATCAAAAAACTATATAGAAGAAAGAAAACTATAGATACTCTAATCAGATTTATCATGTCATATTCGATTAGCTCAACAAATAGAATCTATTGCATCAATTGCCATCTAATGAATAGGAAATTTACCAACAAAATTTATTAATGCAATAGATAAGGAATACAACAAATACTACAAGTATAGATGTGGGAGAAATTACTTCTCTTAATAAAATAGGTTTGTTAAAATTGTAGTAAGTTGTAGAAATTATTTGATGTAGAAATTAGTAAAATTAGGTTTTCGTTATTAAAAAGTAATTGAAACTAAGCTAAATCAAATAAAATAGTTATTTGATATTCAATTTATAAAAATATTAAAAATGTAGAAATTATTGGTAGAAATTAAAAAATATTAAAAATAAATTTCTCCCTCATCTATAATTACAAGTGACTCTCGTTATAGTGAAGTGATCGGGCTACGAAGTTGTCTTCACTATATCAAGAGCCTATCAGTAAATTTTGTGTAATTCACTATATCAAGAGAGTTTTTGTATAAACTGTTCTTCACTATACTTATACATGGGTGTCTAAATTACCCCTCTTAATAAAAAATTATTTCGACATTTAGTCTGTCGAAATTAATTTTTCTTAATGGCGAAATTAATTTCCATAGTTGTCAAAATTTTTAGTGAATTATTTATGTCAAAATACATTAGACAGTATTGTTACTTTGTGGAATTCATATAAAAAAACTAGCAATGTCGAAATGTTTGTCGAAATTGCTTTGTTAAAAAAATAATTTAGACACCCATGTATAACTATACTTATATCGAGAGTTTACTGTATCTAATCTCATAATGTATTGGCAAATTAGAACGTATAACTGGGTATCTCGTAGCGAATTTGGATAATTTCATAAATTAGATTATACAAAGAGTTAACTATATACTTTAATATTTGAATTGATTGAAATTAGAATTTCATATAAAGAATCTTATTTTGTTAACGTTAAGATTATTCATTATTAAGGTCATATTTTACCACATTGATCAAATAATTACACCTTTTGATTTGCCAATTATATTGAATAAAGTTATTCAAAAGATATTTTCTAAATGCTTGACACGCATTAACTTTTTATTAAAATGTTTTTTTTTTTCTATGTCTTACAAATTGAGAACCAGGTTTTAAAATTTAATTCGAAACCTAAAGGTTTTAAAATCTAAATAAAACCTAAACTAATTTTACTATTCCTACTTGGAGCTAGTTAACATTATTCCAAAGATCTCCTATAAACTAAAATCTCAGAATCATAAATTGCCTTTTCTTTTGCGTAAAGATCTTCGAATGGCTTTAAGATAAAAAAATAAATTCGTGAATAAAAATATGATAAATAAAAAGTAGAAAGTTTTGACATAAAGTTACCTTCTTTTCTTCAGGATTCATTGATCTCCATCTTTCAATCAATTCTTGAGTTTGCTCGATTAATGATTTAGATTCATCAAAATTTTTATTTGCCGCAATAAAATGTGTAAAAGGAGTTTTTGGACGCTTTGGTTTTCTAGAATCCTTCAAAAGCCTTACATTTTTACCTTTCGATTTCCCCAACTTACGACGTTCATTTACTCTAGCAATATCTTTTGAAGTTAAAGATTCTTTCCAAGCTTTAAAGTCATCTTCATACTTAGATTTAGCTTGTCTATATTTTTCCAAATACGCCTATAATTAAATTATATCAGAATAAAGTAATAAAATCAAAAGATAAGAAATAAATTATATAAATGAAATATATACTTCTTTTTCATTATAAGGTAAAGATCTCCATTGTTCACCAGCTATTCTACCAATTTCCGTAACTTTTAAAGTAGAATTATCAGGCTTGAATTGTTTATAGAAATCAGTGAAAAATATGGTGTACGGGGTACCAGGACTTTTAGGACTTTCAGGAACTTTAAAAAAATTGGTAAGAAATAAATAAAAATGTTAAATGAGAAGAAATAAAAGTAACATTAATAAAAAGTTTAATGAAATAATACCAGGCCCCTCATCTATAAGTTTGACAGCTTTAGTCTTGGTTCGGGCTTTAGTAGTAGTTTTTTTTGTTCCAGTACTTTTTTGCTTAGTTGTTCGTGGTTTACCAGTTGTAGACTTAGGAACCTTTGTTCTTGTGGCAGTAGCATATTGTCGTAATAAACCAACACTAATGACGTGACCAGAATTTAACGACCCTAATAAGCGCGTATAATTGTTAGGAGAAACTACTTTACTTAATGACTAAAGACGAAACCTAAAACCAGCCAAAGACGAAATACGAAATCCCTGTCGAATTGACGAAAGAGATATAGTAGTTGGTAGACGAAACAAATTTTCCATGTTGTCGAAATGAAAGACAGGTAAACACAAAATTCTGATACACGAAATTTACACCAAAAGTACCCTGGCCTAACCCTTGCTAACTTTGGCCGTGGCTAGATCAAGTGTAACGTAAAAATCACGCCGATACTGTAGCTTAATTTTGCCTATCATAATTGTATTCGTAGAAAATTTTTCTGGGTATATTAATATACTATACTTAATAACTGTTAATAAAAATACTAAAATTTACGCTATAACAAAAAATTCCTCTCAAAATTTTTGTATCTTTCTTTAACTTTGACAATAAAGTTTCGCTTTATTCGATTGCTTTGAATTTAGACTAATTAATAACAGATAATATCATCTATCATCAATCGTAATAAATCAGAATTTTAGTGACTGAAACAGGTGTGGGTTAAAATCCGATAAACGAGTCAAATAATATAATGGATATGCGATTTCTTTTAGATTCTGAGCGTGATATTTTTTTAAAAAAAATAATAAAGTCAGCAATGCATATTACTTTTTGTTCTTATATTTTAATGAATAGGGGTTTTTTTTATTAATCCTGGAAAAATAGATGTTTTACTTTTTTGATAGGTATATTTAATTTATTAAAAATTAAAAATTCCAATAATAAATGAAATTCGAATTATTCTCTTATTATAGAAGCTGAACAAACCAAGTGGTAAACAACTCGTACTTCTGAATATGAGGTTTTTTGCCTTGAAAATCAAGTTGAGACATCTAATTTACTGTGTCTCAACCTGATTTTCAAGGCAAAGTCCCCATATAATATATAGCTGAAATGGATGAGGCAGGCGCTAAAGAATCTAAAACTGTGATAGAAAATTTGAAAATTATAAAAAAAAATCCTTCAAGAGGTATAATATAATTATAAATTATTAATCGTAGTTTATTCACATAAAGTTAGTGACATATATCTTCAGACATATACTGTATACTTAAAACGTCTTTTGACTTTTCGCAATAAAAAATGATTAACGTTAGAAAATATTGATCTTTATGCGGGATTTTGACCCAGACCCTCTGAAATACAACCTTTTAAAATGATTCAAACTAAGAGGGGTTTCAATTTTGATAGAAATAAATAACATATTTATTTTCAAATAAGCGATATATAAAATTCCGGTGCAATTTTTTGATAGTCGGAAAATTTCCGTTTGTTCGGAATTTGGACCCTTTCTTACATAATAACTGATTGCTAACAGCAGAGACCGTTGATATTATATAACTAATCCGACACCTGGTGTTGAACACATAAAATAATTATTTCACAATACCAGCTGTTATGATTATAATCCCCCGATCACAATATCAAGATCACGGGAGGATTAATTAATAATACCCTGACTGTATGTGAATATGCGGAAACGAAGTTTCCAACGGATCAGGATATTATTATTACAAACATCAACGATCTCTCCTGTAATTGTTACTACCTCCAGTTATAGATCTTAAATTCCGTTTAATAAAAAGATCGCCCGGAAAAATATCAGTATGGTGCGAAATAATTGGCTTTTAACTAAAAATAATTTTTTAAAAATTCTTTCTTTAATTATATTATTTAAGACCTAAAGAATATAACTATACGTAGAAAGTTTTTTTAAAAAAATCTTTTTATTAAAAAGTTATTTTAGTTTAAAAATTCTTTAATATTATAATAAAATTAAAAAATTCAGCACTTTATTTTATTAATAAAAGGTAAAAATTTAGCACTTGTATTATATATATAATATTAAGTTTTAATTGAATTTATATATATATTTCTCTATTTTTTTATTTTTATTTTATTTTATTCTCACCTTTTTTTAAATTTCAGCACTATTAAATTATTATATAAATTTTAAAATTCAGCACTATTATATATATAAATTTTAAACTCAGCATTATTATATATATAAATTTTAAAATACAGCACTATTATATATATATTAAAAATTCAGCACTATGAAAGGTTTAATTAATTTACATATTCGAAAATAAGCTTTTTTATTTTGAAATTTCGATGAAATAAGTGTATTTTTCTGATGATATATACCGGGTGTATCAAAAGTCTTTGTGCATGGTCCTTAAATACCTTTATATATAGGTATATAATAATCACGATGATAATCATCATGATCTCTATATATATAAAGTTATTTAAAAAAGAGACCATGTACAAGGACTTTTGATACACCTGGTATATTGCCATCATATAAAAAAAATGAATTTATAAATCACTTATTTTCAAAACGAATACGTTACTAATTTAATTCGAATTCAGAAACCTGAACATTAATTCTGACATTCTCATTTCATTTTCCGATTTCAAAATTCTGATACACAAATAGAATGTTTCATTAAACTCCCATTTATTTCCGAAACCCACAATTTCATACTTTTTGATTCACAGGGTCCATTCTTTTTGATTCATAAAAAAGGCCTGTTTTTTTATTAGGGTTAGAATAGTTAAATCATATGGGATAGTATCAAAAAAATTGGTGCCTTTTTTTATGAATCAAAAAGAATGAACCCTTGAATCAAAAAGGACAGGTTTTCCTGAAACCCCTTTATAGTGAAATTATTTAAAGTTTTTTTATTTATTAATACATAGAAGTTACAATTACATTCGTAACATCACATAGTTTTTAGTTCAAAATTTTTCTTATTTTTGAAAAATTATTGCCATGTATAAGTTATAAAACCTAGAAATAAAACATTATTAAACAGAGTTTTGAATGGTAATTAAAAAGGTGAACTTAAATTATCAATCATAATAGATAATAAACTAAACATAAACAAATGATTTAACGTTAAGCGATGTTATAAAATTATATACTCATAAAGTTGAACAAATAAATAGTATTGCAAAGGGCGAACCTGATTTTAGAGAGCTTAAAATTATAAACTAAAATGACATGAATAAAATGATTAAAAAATGACACGAATAAATGATTAAACATTGTTAAGAAATAATTTAGTAATATTAAAATAAAAATTTAAATAAATCTATCAATACTTACTGAGCCGAATTTGAGTAAGTCATGAGTATTGCCGAAAGAAACACATGGATCACAAAATACAGGCTTACAAGCTTCCAAAAAATCCGATCCCACAGTATGATATCAGTATGATATTTGATCGAAATATAACAAGTCTAATTCTATATACAAATATCGATATAATTAAATGATGTGACCAGGGAAAACAATACCAGTAAACTACATGTTTCGCTTGGCAATACTCACAAAAGTTGTAAAACTCCAAAGAATCCATTAGATATTATCGTTGTACAAAACAAAGTTTCAAATTTGCTTGATAACTCAGCTTCTTCACTTTTTACAGTTTTGTCGTTTAAGACGGAAGATGGAACTAGGCTTCGTATTCTTTAATATGGAACCTTTGGTTTAACATAAAAACTATTCAAGCCTCTTTAATGTCTATTGAAGCTGACTACTAATTGTCTTTTATTCCGATTTATTTTTTCCTTGACGCAGACTGTCAAAGATGTTACACGGAATTCCTAATAAAATACCCTTATAATTTGAACTTACAATATTGATATTGATATTGATATTGATATTGATATTGATATTGATATTGATATTGACATTGACATTGACATTGTAGCAAATAAAATGATAACAGATGAGATGTGTCCTATACGTACAGTACGTACGTAAGCACAATGCACGGGTAAGAGATAATTTGTACATCACATGTACCTATTACCATATAAATCATTTGTGAGAAGGGGTTTAATAAAATGAAATTACGTAATGAACGTCACTTCCCTTAATTAATGATTAATGCCAACAAAAAACTTGAATAATAATAGACATTGATAAACACACCACTGATGTCCAAAATTTTATTTATGAAAATATCCATAAAAAATTCCTTGCAAAATTTTGGTATAAATTGACCCTCCATTAACTCTTTACCTCTAACTCTAACAAATTTCAATGTTGAACACCGTGGTATGATTGATATTAAATTATGTGATTTAATGGGTTTGATGAGATTTATCAGACTACATAAGTTAATATGTTAATTAAGTAATACTAATAACGTATAATACTGTATAATTATAGTAATTTTTTTTTTATATTTAGATTATAAATTGAAGTAAGACTATAAATTAAAAAACTAGAATTTAAGAAAAGTTCTTTGAAACACAGAATATTTCACTTAGAACATCAAATTCTCAATTTCCGGGATGAAATATATAGTAACTATTATACTAAATACCATTGGTATGTATATAACAGGTAAGGGGAAAAATGTTTAATCTGACCAATTAGATTACTCTCCATATGTTTGGCGTAGTCACATGCTTAATAAAAATAATGTATTATTGGATAATGATAGATGTTACACACAGATCATAAATTTGATATAAACAGACACGTAAAATCGCGATTGAATCGACCCTTCTCTCTCTCCGTATTGCGATATCACGGCGATAAATTTATACTTTGGCTAAATAATAGAACAATTAATATGCAACTTGAACAACAAGTAGATCAAGCCGATTGGTTAGCATCAAATGAAGCCCGATTATTACAAAACTGTTAGTGAACAACACTGACTGTTTCATTTTCGATAAATTCGAAGGAATTCGATTGAGTTGCAAGAATATCTACTTTATTTAGAACAAAGAGAAAAGGACATTAGATTATATGAAGATTACATTTCTTACTCCCAAAGATACTATGGTTGAAATTTGCATCATATATTAACTCTCGTTTTTTTATCACTTAATTAATTATTATGTTTCTTTATTAAATAGACGATTGTTTTGAATATAGGTAACATTCTCTTTCATTCTCGCTTTAGATTACTAAATATCATCTCTCTTAGTTATTTATTCTCTTAAGACATGTTACTCTTCCAAAACCACTTGTTCAATACGTCCCCCCTGATCGACTCATGACGGAAGAAGAATGGCGAAGTCTTGGTGTTAAGCAATCTCCTGGATGGGAACACTACATGGTTCACGGTATTATCTTATTGCGTTTTTACTAGTCTGAATTATCTACTATCAGGTTATAATTTTCCAACTAATTCATTCTCTTAAATATATCAGCTCCCGAACCTCACATCTTACTTTTTAAACGTGAAAAAGATTACCAAATCAAGTATGGCATTCCACAACCTCAAGATGAATTAGTCGAGCAAGATGATCAGAATGTGCAGTATGAACAGGATCCTCAGTATCAACAAAATGTCCAATATCAACATCAACAGAATGTGCAGTATCATCCTCAACAGAATGTTCAATATCATCAAAATGTTCAATATCATCATCAAAATGTGCAATACCAACAAAATGTTCATTATCAACAAAATGTGCAATATCAACAAAATGTGCAGTATCAACAATAGAGATGAAAAAAAAATTTAGTTTAGGTTCGATTTAGGTTCTAAAACTTTTTAGGTTCCCAATTTAAAAATCTATAAACCGGGTTTTTATATAATAAGTTCCAACCTATGTTAAACCTGATTTGGTCCATAATCCAATTCTAAAACCTGGTTCTTAATATCTTTCATGCCTACTTTATAACATCACAAAGTATTTTAATAAATTTGTTGGTTGGTTCGCCATTTTTTTTTTTTTTTTTTTTTTATAATAAATTTGCTTGTTCTTTCGCAAATTTTTTCTTTTTGTTATTTTTGTTAATGTTTTATTAAAAATAAATTTATAATAATAATACTAATGATACAAATAAATTTTGATGCATTTAATATTGTGATGTACCGAAAAATTCCTTTAAAGTTTTATATCAATATGTTACATTAGTGTTTGTATTAGTTAGATTTTAGTTGTAAATGGAAACAAATTTAGGTGTCTTAATTACAATTTAAAGGTATGATTTATTTTATATGAACCTACATCCTAACCTTAAAATTCTAAATTCATCTAAACTTCGTCCCATTTACGACATGTACATTAAAGTTGATTAATAAACCATTTTGCTTTAAATTTTCCTGTTAGTGTTACGTTACACTCAGTGTTGGGCTCTGGACCAAAAGTCCGCTCTACTGGACTTATAAACTGGACCACTGGACCACTGGACCTATAAGTCCAGTTCCAGTTCAATTTTACTAATTTTACTGGACTTATAAGCAAGCCCAACACTGGTTACACTACTACGTTACACCACATCTTAATGTGACTGGAAAATTCGTAGTGCATATCACGTGATAAATGGTTCCAAAAAATTGCTGATTTTTTTGTAGGCAAAATTTCTATTACGGTTAGGCTATAATCGGTTAACCGATCCGAACTGAATAATTTCGAGTAACCGGTTGAGTAAATTCTTAATCGGAATTGGGTGGAAGGTGTATAAATGACATCAGGAATGAGCAAAGATTCCGAAAAGAAAATAATTGAACATAAAAGACAAGCAAGAAGGTGACAAAAATTTGAATAAAGGTACGAGACTTTCCGAAGGTAAAGTGTGAGGTAATCTTAACCGGTTGCAATCGGTTGGTATAAAATATTTCGGTTCGGTTAACCGAATAAGAAATTTTTTCTCGATTCAAATCACTAATTGTATTACATAAAACCTCAATTTTATTAGTTAATTAGAAACTAGCGATATATCGCAACAATGTTAAATGATGAATCCCAAGAGAAAAGTTGCAAATTTAAACTGGCTTCAATACAGTATACCTTTCAAGTTACATGCAAATAAAACACAATATATGCTTTGTTAATTAACTAGAAAATTTAAATAAGCTTTAGTAAAAATTATTTTTTAAATACAAGTAATCTACTGCATTAATCATATCTGCAGATTTTTTGATAATATCGTAAATGAATGTCTTATATTTGTCGCATCTAAAGTTGCGATTTATCTGGAATTGTCACTCTAGATGTCTAAAGTAGCACCTGACTAGAATTAAGCCCGTGAAATTAGATCTTCGTGCATGTGATTCTAGTTAGGTATTACTTTAGATATAGGCTACCATAGCCATAACTAAAATAATTATTTTTTTGTTCGTTAGGATTGTGCATATATTCTGAAACCATGTACATAATATTTTTACTGCTTTTTAAAAGAGAAGTTTATAAAGAATTGAAAGATTTTAAGTACATTTCTCAATTATGGCATCTTATTTCTTAAAGAACTGTAAGACTAATAGATTATTATTTTCAATCTATGTTAGTATCTGATTTGACCTTGTCTTATAAGTGATATCACTCACTTGATTAAGAATATCATAGTTTAGAATTAGTTTGAGAACGTAATTATATAATAATGAGCATTGTATTATAAAATAAATTTTTTTTTTATCTAATTAATAGATTTTTTCTTTCTTATAATTTTAATTTTATTTTTTACTTGTTAGTTTTATTTTAGAAAATTTATTAGTTTACATGTAGTTTTTGTATATAGTTATAATTTATTGAATTACAACTTCATGTAATATAACATAAATCTAATTTTTTAAATAAAAAATTAAATTCTTGTTTATAGTTAAAGTAAGAGTAAGTTTGGAATTGTATAATTAAAATTTTAAGATATTGGTTAGTTTTTTTTTTAAATATTAATAGTAAGATCATGCTTTTAACTTTATTGAAATTCAAGTGAAGTTTTTACAAAAAAAAACTTGTTTTTAAATTACATATAAAGGAATCTATAGCAAAAGATGATTTCAAAAAATTATATGATTTTGAGAAAATCATATTCAAAATTAATATGTATATAACTATTATATATATAATATTATCAAAATAATTAATTCAAATTATATATTTTTTATTAATACATTTAGCAATCAAAATTTGTTTTTATAAAAATATTTATTAGTTTATTAGATATTATATAAAATCTCAAAATCTGATTGTTTGATCTAAGCCATCTTTTGTTGTGGGCACCTTTATAAAAAAATAAAGATTCAAACTAATAATTTGCAATCTAAACCTACAAAAGTAATCAAAGCTTATCTAGATTTGAGTGTGTATAAAAATATAAAAAAGTAAGATGTAATATTTGATTTAATAAATAATTTAAAAGTCTATTTTAGTTATAAGTTTAAAGATTAAAATAGAAAGTAAAATAAAATTAGAAGAACTAAGTATTAAGTTAGTAGTTATTATAATTTGAAATTATTAAAAATAGAAAATGTAGTAATATATTTATATATTTGTTGGTTAAAATAAAAAAAAAAGTTTGATATGCTATCTTAAAAAAATATTGTATTAAAAAGTGTAGATTATATCAATTTGTATATTAGGTATTACAAATTAATAAAGTTACAATTAAAAGATTTACTTGGCAATTTAAGCAAACTCAAACCAAATAAATTAATTAGCTAATTTAATTAAATAAATTAATATTATTTATAATATTAATTAAGTACTTAAGTTGCTTAAAAAAAGTTAAAAAAAATTGCAATATATTAATTGCACTAATGCATTAAGTATTATATTTAATTTAGGTTAATATAGTTTTTCTTGTATATTTCTAAATAAACATTTATATATTTATATTTATATTAATAGGTTTTAAAAAAGTATATACAATTGCATACTAAATTAAAACTTATTAATTATTATTATTATACAAGATTGTCAAACTTGACTATTTAAAAACTATTTGAAATATGGTTAATTGAAAAAGATTAGCAAAAGCATAGTTATTTTCCAAATAAAGAATGTTAAAATAAAGATAAAAATAGGTTTAATATAAATTTTACTAGATATATGCACTATTATTGCTATTAATTATTAATTTATTTTTTAATTTACTATAATATTTAAAAAAACTTTATAAAATATTATTAAATAAAACAATTTAAATATAAATAAAAAATTATTTTATAAAAAAAAAGAATTTCTATTTTGTTTTAGTTCAAAAGTCTTTTTTGTTTTTTTTATTTGTTTTTTTTAGAAAAATCTAGTTAAAAAAATAAAATTAAATAATTACAAAAATGTTAAAAATGTTTTTTATATTCAAATAAGATTAAAATAAATAATAATAATAAACTTAAAAAAAAGAAATTTTATAAAAAATTTAGATAAGAAAGTTCAAGTGTTATTATTTTGTAGTAAGATACCAAATATACAAACCAACAAAAAAAGTTATATATTATAAGTCACATCTTCAGCTGATTTACTTTAACTACTTGAAATTTAACTAATAGTACTATTACTTTTTTTACTAATATTACTATTATCATTATTATTTGTACTTTTTTTCTTTTACTTTATTTATTAGCTATTTTAACAACATTTATATAATACATTGAGCAATATCTATTTAATAATAACTATTTATCAATGCAGTCTTTATAGAAATAATATAAATACTATAAATTTTAAAGTTTATTACTATTTTTATATAATGAAAAACAGATAAAACAGACAGCATTCTCAGAATTAGAATAGTAAAAGTTTGTAAAACAACTGAAGAAATATAAGCAAAGTTCTTGTTTTTGCTTCTGAATAAATTAAAATAGGATTTTTTTGTGATAAAGATATTGGTTGATGACTTGATTCTATTTGTAATATTGATATAATAATATTTGTTATTTAATTTTCTGATATATTAGAATTACTAAAGATTTATATTTTACTAATAGAATTTTTTGAATTATATTATCACTAGTACTGCTAATTCTAGCAGTATCATTAACATAAAAATTCTTATTGCAACTAATATGCATAGTAAATAAAAAATAACAATAAGACATAATAATATAAAAATAGTAATTATAATATATTCAAGAATAAAGAAAAAAAATTTTTAAATTCATTTTGTATACAAGTTTGTGTAATGAAAAGAAGATAGTTGCCAATAATAAACCAAAAAATACTAAAAAGACTAAGTTTTTTTTTCCTTAAGCTGTCATACTAGTACTTTATTAAGATTTTGAAATTACAATTACAATTATATAAATGTTCTTAACAACTAAGTTTAGTATTACCTAACTACTTTACTAATACCTAGTGCAACCTGTTGCATTACTTTAAACAAAAGTAAGCTACTTGTCTAGCTACTTAAAGTTTATAATAAAAGAGTCTTTTTTCTTTTATAACAAGTTTCAAAATTGTTCTCTGTGTTTTTGTTTTAATTTGTTTTTCTTTTTCTCTTGTTCTTTTTTTTCTTTTACTCTTTGCTAATTTGCCTTCTTTTTTTTATTTGGTTTCAGCTTTTTTTTTTTTTTTTTTTTTTTAACGTATTTGTTTTTTTTAATTTTCTCTTTTTTTCACTAATTTTCTTTTTTCAGACTCTTCATACTTGTTTATAAAATGTATTTTAAATTATACTTACTATTATATTTACAAACTGCTGTTTTGACTTTATATTTAGAAACTGTCATAACTAGTTTTGTGTTTTTTTTTAAAATTAGATCTTTAATTAGTGCCTTTTTTA